TATTTGGAAGCTCTGTCATGACTTTGTAATGACTTCAGTTGGTGTGTTTGTTAGTCCTTTTCCTTAGGTTGCTGTCTAGTTGTGTAGTATTGCTTATTGTTCAATTGCTTCAAGACTTGGTAGTATTTGGAACCTTTGTAATGTTGGGTATTATATTGTTCAATGCTATGCAGTTTTCATGTATACTTCCAAGTGTGTGGTTTACTTTTAGGGTGGTAGCATGTAAAGAAGAATGTGGTTATTGTTCACTTTACTATGTGTGTTATTACATATATAAGCACTTAATGTCAAAGCACATAATTCATTTCAAAACACATACTTCATGTCAAAACACTGACACGTTTTCATTACTTAACATTAGAATAGTACAAAACCAAATACATCAAAACATCCACTCAACATTACAATAGTACAAAAACAAGTGCTCTCGGAATAGTCTAACTCCTCTCACAACTTCTACCAATGCAAAACTGCAGATCTAGTACACGTATCTAACTCTCAGAATTGTACAACTGCTCTCGAAAACTACCACAAATGCAAAACAGGTCTAATACACACATCTAAAACTCTCACACGTGTCCAACACACTATACCAAGTCACTTAGAATACAAAATAATGCAATGGAAACCCACATCCACGAGGCAACAAAACAATGAATGTCGTCATTCTTTATGTCTTTGCATTTTTGGTCATTAGCAGCTGCATTTCCTTATTTTTAGCTCCCATCATCTATTTCTTAAATTTCAGCCTAACAATCTTATCCTCTAATGCTTTTTTGTCCATCACAAGTTGCTCCAACAACATTTCGTTATCGTTTCTCTTGTCTTCTTTGCAAGGACGAATTCCTTCATCAACTCATTGAAAATAATGACAATTTGCTTCCTGGAAGTGATCAATGAAAAAGCCCATTAAAACAAAAAAGTCTTGGTTTGAGTGTAATTGATTTCTCACTGATTCTAACAACTAATTCGGCACTTCTGAAGTTAGTTCATTATCACAAGTGAAATTATAAGGATAACTAAATAAATTGAGGCAAGAATGCACACCCATAGAATTGTCTCCCAGTATTTGGCCCGTTTTCACCATTCTAGGTTCACAACACACTCTGTGGTAGCATTGATTTGAAAAAACACTGCTTTCAGTCCTTCTACCCCATGACAATGACCCAACAATCAAACATATTTCACCGTCGTGTGTCGTTGGTTGAGTTCTTGCGTTGCGATTGAGAAGATAAGGGGACGACGATTTGGCCGTTGTGTGGCGTTCACTGTGTCCGGCTTTCACTTGGGTGGACGACGAAGAAGATAAGAGGGGCATGGGGTTTGATCTATACTTAGTAATACACGTGCGGTGCACGTGTTAATTTTTCCGGTTATAACTTATGTTAACCGGTGAGGGAGTATTTTATGAAACGGGCCCCCAAAGTCTGGACTACAGGGAAATAATCCATAATAGGGATTATTAGAAGCGGACCAGGTATAGTTGAGATTAATAATACCAATGTTTCCTTAAATCAACAATAGTTGGATGGGAATAATGATTTGTTACCTCCAATAGTACTTCTTCTCTCTTCTTGGACTGTCTTCTGCCCTTTCTTCTCCAAGCTTTTCCATTCGTGTAGATGTATGTTCAGAGATCTCAGACATCTCCTCTATCTATCTAATTCAGGTTTCTAAGGCTTCAATGAGAGCGGGACAACAACTCTTGCACAAGTACCGCAATGAGTGTAAGATGTGTGTTTACTTGCATTCCTTCTTGTCTTGTGCACCTTCCTTCCCATTCTACACGTCCAATCTAGCAATTCAATCAATTTTGATCATTTATTCCCAATAATATGTATGGGTTGCCCCCGGTGAGGGTAAGAGTCTCCCCTCATTTATCTTACTATTTTTTAGCAACTTGGACTAAAATGAATTTACTTGATCTCCCCATTCACTTCTAGTTCGGCCTTATGCAACATATGAGTGAGTACTTTATTTATTTATTTATTTATTTATTTATTTATTTATTTATTTATTTATTTATTTATTTATTTATTTATTTATTTATTTATTTGTTTATTTATTTATTTGTTTATTTGTTTATTTGTTTATTTGTTTATTTATTTGTTTATTTATTCATTTATTTATTTATTTATTTATTTATTTATTTATTTATTTATTTATTTATTTATTTATTTATTTATTTATTTATTTATTTATTTATGTATTTATTTATTTATTTATTTATTTATTTATTTATTTATTTATTTATTTATTTATTTATTTATTTATTTATTTATTTATTTATTTATTTATTTATTTATTTATTTATTTATTTATTTATTTATTTATTTATTTATTTATTTATTTATTTATTTATTTATTTATTTATTTATTTATTTATTTATTTATTTATTTATTTATTTATTTATTTATTTATTTATTTATTGTTAGTTAATTTGTATGGGATATTCCCAATAGATGTTTCTCTCATATTTTGGGGATCGGATGGGAATTCACAAAATATCTACCAATAATACAAGAGGTTGGGCACATTGATCTTGTTTTCTTGCCTTGGCTAACCCCTCTCTTATTTGTCCGTCCAAATCAACTATTTTTACAGGTCCCTAACACGTACTTATTGCCCTCAAGTGAGTATAAGATGCCCCTCCATTATTCTTACTATTTATAACAGGTTGGGCTTATTCGTCACTTGGGCTGCCAATTTACTCTTTTGATCAGCCCAACCAAAGTATGTAATTTCTTTTCTATTATATTGGGCTATTATAATTAGTAATATTACCCAAGAATATATTGGACAATCCCTCACAATATTCATGGTTCGATAACCAATTTTTTTTAAACCCCGGAAGGCAAACCACCAAAATCAGTGGGGTAAATGCCGGAGGATCATTTACCAAGTTTTATTAATTCAGATTGAGATACAGACATGTGATGCTAAAATAATAAGAGACTTGGGGGGGACCTGACCTTACCCAAATAAAATACATGAAAATAAAATCAAATGCGAAAATAAGGAAAACCAAAGAGATCTGCATAATAACTGGACTTAACTCTAGCAGGCAAAGTGTTCACTTGGTCAAAGAAAATAGCCTGGTCCATTACCTTCTCTGAAAATATGCCCAAAACACAGCCCCGAGTCTATCGCTTTCCTTCGAAACGCCTGAAGATAGGCATACTTTCCTGAATCGGTCGCTTGAAGCATGGAGATGATATTAGCCGCATCAACTTCAACCTGGAAACCGGACAACCCCATTTGTAGAGCCATATCAGCAACATAGATCAAAGCTTGAAGCTCGGCTTCCTCGCTCGATTGTGCCTGAACTTTGAAACACGAGGCCCACACCATCTTCCCTTCTCGATTTCTGAAGATGGCTCCTCCCATGGCTCATCCAGGTACATACAAAGCATCCACATTAAGTTTGTAGTTGTTTTTAGGCCTGCTCCACAATCAAAACAATTAATTATTTCTCACATGATTAATGTAACTATGTTAAAAGGAATATTTTATGAAAAAAATTTAATAATCATTCTCATTAATTTCACTAACTGATGAATTAATAATCTAAGCTTAATTTGGGAGCAGTGTCATATATACTGGAAAGTATGGTAACTTATTCAGCTCAACTAAACATGTGGTTAAATGTAAACAGTAATTAAGTTACCACTTCAATGAAGGAAAAACAGGATATTTAAGAGATAAACACACACACGTTAATGCAGACTACACAAGTAGATGAAGTCATCCTAATGAGCCTTTTCGGTTTAACCTGCATTAAATGTCTGACCAGGAATGGCTTCAACAACCACTAACCTTCACGTTAGAGGAAAAGTAAATGATGTTGCATAAGGATTAAAGATCCCGATGAAATTATTAACCAATAACTAAAGACATTGTATAATTAAACAAAACAAATATGACACACACTCAACAAAAGTTGAATGACATGCAAATCTTATATGTGTTACTAAAGTTATAATTTCATATAAATCGAGCTTAAAAGATAACTTCACATAATCATACTTCGGGAAATTTTTATGTGCTTAAATACATAATTTGGTACGGAGTAATAAAGAATTAACACATTTCAAAGCATTGCATGCAATATACCAAAACATCACTTAGCAACTCATAAAAATAATCAAGCATGACTCAATTTAATAGAACAAACGTAGTTGAACAAAGCATGCGAGAATAAAAACGAGCATGACTGAACAAAACTAATCAAACGATAACAAAAATTGATTTCATGTATACGAAATGCATAATCCATTAAGTTAATTAGTAAGATTTAACTCATAAAAGTATATCAAGATTCGAGACATATACAATCTCATCCCAAAGAAGATGTGGACTATAGTCTGAAACACATGCTAGCTAGCATGTCTGGAAAGAATTTTTTCCCTAAAGAGAAATTTACCGTGGCTATGAAAAAAGAATTGATCTTTCTAATTGCCAAAGTTACACGAGTCTTGAAATACAAAATTTTATAGAGGTACTAGTAACACTTTGTACTAAAAATATTATTTATATAACATAGTGTCATAATTAATGTAGCACTTGCACTATGTTGTATGGTTGGATGATACAAAAACTTGACTTGGCGCCTAGCTCCAATCATAGTTTATAGAGTGACAAAACGGGTCATGTTGTAGAAAAGAAGGAAAAGCTACATTGCAAGCGGAAATAAACTAGCTCAAATAAGGTCAAGCATGGTAAAATATAACAAAAACAATCAAACACAAAACCATCACTTCCAGCCTAGCTGGTTGTGAGGTTATCCTTGCATAGGAGAGGTCTCGTGTTCGAGTCCCACTAGCACCAGTGGAACTATGCTCCCCCAAAAAACCCTTCAAGTGGTAGGGCCAAGCGGTGTATACTAACCCGTAGGGCCAAGCCAAAGTTGGGTTTCTGGGGTAAGGGGCCGTGAAAAGCGGTGGAGCTAGTCACTATAAAAAGTTTACCCATACCTTAGTTTTTAAAAAAGCGCGTGGTACGTGGTTCGCGTTGAGAACGCTCTGGCTTCTCACTAGGGAAATACTCCAACGGTTATTTTCCTAGGTTGCTCGAACCTTTGACCGATCTTTACATTTCAATCTTACCGATTAATCTTGAAGTTTCTTCTTGGTCTAGGCTCGGATTTCATTATTCTTTCCTTTCCATCGATTGGATTTGGGAGATTTTGAATTTTTGGGCTTAAACGACGATTTTGAGGTCCCAGGTCGTGAAGTTACTGTTCATAATCGCAGACTTCATTTTTGAATCTCCATCCGATTTTTGAGGATTGTTTTTGCTCAAAGGGGTTTGTGTGGGGGTCGCCCCTGGCGAACCTCCAAGCACCGGTTTCAAGGCCTGATTACACAGAAAACTCAAGAAACGAAGAAATTGGAGTTCGTTGGTATTGTTCATGGCAGAGTCTATTTCTTCAGATTTCTCAATATCCTGTCGGTCAAATTAGTTTCTGAAGTCAGCTTGGAGCTTGTCTTGTTCTTAAGAAGCTAAGGAATCCTCTTTGACTCCTACAAGCTAGTATCCAGGTTTTCCCCAAAATCTAGGGTACTGTAGCTCGCACGCAGGGCAGTCTCCCTGTTTTATTTTTTCTAGAATTCGTGTTCATTTGCTGAAAGAAATAATTATACTGTGTGAATCGCCTTGCTAAGGAGATCATTCTGTGAATTTTTCATATTTTTCTGAGCTGTTTGAAAAAACCGAGTTACTGTTCATCTTCCCCAAAGCTGGAAACACAGGCTGCTACAGTAATTCCTGCGCACCAGACTAGTTAGGAATTTTTTCTGAACTCTGTACTAGTCCGTTTGCCAAACGGATTTCACTAGCCTGCTCCATATTACTAGGGGTATCTTGGAGAGTATTCTTGGAATTTTCTGAGCATGTTCAACTGAGGTCCGAACGGTTCACCATCTTCCCCAATGACGAGGAAAAATAAACAGTCTCGTACTCCTCCGTTGAAAGACCAGCAGTTTGAAGAGAAATTCAAGAAGCTTCAAGCTAGGCAATTGGAGCTTGAACTTAAGAAGAAAGAAGATGGAACTACCAAGAAGATCTTACCTCCTTATGTTCCTAAAGTGGCTCCTAAAATGACTATCAATCCGGTAGTTCCACTTTTGGGGGAAACTGCTTCTTCTAATGCCGAGCCCTCAAAGGAGTTTTCCTTTGAACAACCGGCTGTCTCTACAGGTGTTCCTGATGGTGTTGATGGCTTGGATGGTGTTGATGGCATTGTGGGTGAAGATGCTCAAAGCCATGGTTCGGATGATATTGCTTCTAGCTACAAAGAGGACCTTGGAGAGCATGAGGAAACTGGGGTAAAGAAACCGTGGGTCAACCTCTTTCATGACAATAGGTCTCTTTCTCATGGGATGAAGCTAGACTACGTGGAACCAAAAGGCGATATTGTGGACTTCTCAAACCGTAAGCTCCCCACTCTCATTGAGATTTGGGGCTTTTGTTTGGTTGGTTTTTTTGCAGGTAGGTTCCCGGGCATGCGCGCTATCCAAGCCCTCACTCTCAAATGGGGTGTGCATTGCAAGATCAAATCACATGATAAGGGTTGGGTGATTTTTCACTTTCATAGTGAAGAAGACCGCACTAAAAGACAAAGCTAGGCCTAACTTTGCTAGAGTGCTTGTGGAGATCGATGTTTCAAAGCCGCCTATCTTGGAGATACCTATCATGCTCCCTTCGGGAAAGGTAAGGAACCAATTTGTTATTTATGAAACTTTTCCTAACTTTTGTTGTCATTGCAAGGTTTATGGTCATCATCACTTCACATGCAAAACAACAACAAAGAAGGATATTGTTGACCAACCTAAGGGTGGGAATGAACTTGTGGTCTTTGACAAGGAGGGGGATAAAGGTGGTAGGACACTCAAGGCTCCTAAGGTTCAAGAGTGGGTGCAAAAGAAAAAAGCTCAGTTCAAAGCTCTTAATCCGAAGGTGCAACCTAAAGGGAGGCAGCCCGTGGCTAAGCAGGGGACTGCCCAGTCGCAACCAGTGGGCCCACATCCAAAGGAAGGCCTCAAAATTGCTCCTAAGTTGACTGTTACTTCAAAGGAGCCCCATGTACTTGCCCCCAAACTCACTGCCGCTCCCAGTACCTCTCTTGGACCCTCTGTACAAACTGCCAGGCCCTCAAAAGATGCTGCCAAAGATAGCTTGACAGTCAACATGCTATCTATTGCTCTACCTTCAAAGAACTCTCCTAAACCGACGCATCATGGGAAGGGTTCTAGGCCGAGAACTAATCAAATGACAATCACAAAGAATAGGTTTGGCGAGGATGTGTGTGAGGATCTACCGCCGGGTGAATTAATTTATAGCATGTATGAGATGCATTACAAGGACATTGTTACCGGAGTCTTTACGGATGAAAAAGGAAAGAGATTTGCCACTATCATTCAACCGGAGGAACTTCCAAAATGGGAAACGGTGATCAAAGTGGGTGCCGATTACAAACCGGTCACCAATGAGGATGCACCGGGTGTTTATTTCACCCATAATGGCATTATGAATCTTCCGGGGGTTACACGAAACCTCACATGGTATGATTTCGATCCCAAGCTTTTTCCTTCTAATGTCTTTTCTTTTTTTGATCAAAATTCCAAGGAGAATAGGAGGTATTACAAGGAAAAGATTCGTAGGGAACGTCGAATACTCAAAGGAAAAGCAAAAGAGGGGGTAAACTCAAGTGATGAGTCCTCGTCCTATGATGATCTTTCATGTTAAAGTTGCTCACTTGGAATGTGCGAGGTTTGAATAAACCTTCCAAGCATAAATTTATTACTAGTTTTATTAAATTAAATTGTGTGAATCTTTGTTGTTTCTTGGAAACGAAAATGACAAAAGATAGTTTTAATAATTTTGTTTCTAATAAATGGCCCGGTTGGCTTTTAGAAACTAATTTTGATAAAATTAATGGTGGCCGAATGGCAATTATGTGGAATCCGTGTTTTTTAGATTGTGTTGTTATTGCGATGCATGAACAATATTTGCATATTAGGTGTGTGTGCCGAACAACACAAATGTGTTTTCAAGTGACGTTTGTGTATGCATTGTATACCGTGTTGGAGCGTAAAGCGTTATGGGATGAACTTGCTATACTAGGTGACCAAATTAGGGAGCCTTGGCTTATAGCAGGTGACTTTAATTGCATTTGCGCTCCAAATGAAAGGGTTGGGCCGAGCCCCCCTACGGCCTACATGATGAAGGATTTGTTTGATTTTAAAATTAGAGCTAGTCTTGAGGATGCCCCATCCACGGGAGAGTTTTTTACGTGGAATAGGGGTGCTCTTCGGGCTAAACTTGACCGTGTTCTTTTAAATGATGTTTGGGGGCAACTTGATATTAGTTGCAAGGCCCATTTCCAGGAAATGGAGGTTGAGTTTGATCATACGGCTTCCGTTGTATCAATACTCAATAATTCCTCTATTAGGCCGAAACCCTTTAAATTTTTTAACATGTGGATTAAGCACAAGCACTTTACTAATATTGTTGCACAAGGTTGGAGTCAATTTTTCCAGGGTACGTCTCAATATTCAATTGTGAGAAAGCTTAAGTCACTCAAGAGGCCACTAAAGAATCTCAATACATTGGAGTATGGCAATATATCATTGAAAGCAAAGAGAGCTAAGGAGGAATTTAAAAGATTAAACAAATTGTGGCTTGAGTCGCCTCTTGACGATGGACTCAAATTGCAAGTGACTGAGGCTAGGAAACGTGCTACGTTTTTGGGAGAGGCCGAGACAAAATTCTACCAACAAAAAGCCAAAGCCACACATATTCTTGAGGCGGACAAAGGCACAAGATACTTTCATGCTATGGTCAAGAGAAATGTTACTCGTAATGCTATATCTTCTATTTCGTTAGATGACGGTAGCCTCACCACTTCATTGGATCAAGTGGGTGATGAATTTGTAAAATTTTTTGTGGATTTGTTTGGCACTAGCTCGGTAAACCGTGGCCTTGACCCATTGGTCTTAGGCACCGGCCCTTTAATTGAACCAAGTGTTCATGATGGCCTACTTGCTCCAATAACAAATAAGGAAATTAAAGATGCCTTGTTTGATATTGGAGATGACAAGGCACCGGGGCCGGACGGTTTTACCTCAGCCTTCTTTAAGGCTAATTGGAATTTGGTTGGGGATGACATAGTCCAAGCAACAAAGGAGTTTTTTCGGACGGGTAAGCTGCTTAAACAGATTAATCATACTATCATAGCACTTATCCCTAAGACTAATCACTCTCCTAAGGTTTCGGACTATAGACCCATTTCTTGCACGAATGTCTTATATAAGATTATCACAAAAATTATTGCGGCTAGATTAACCCCATGCCTCTCGGGGTTGGTTAATCAAGCCCAAGGAGCGTTTGTGGATGGGCGCCTAATGTTTGATAACATTTTCCTTGCCCAGGAACTTGTTAGAGGATACAATAGGAAGCGAATCTCACCAAGGTGCATGATTATGGTAGATTTGCGTAAGGCCTATGACACGATTTCTTGGGACTTCCTCGAAAAAGTCCTTGGGGGTTTGGGTTTCCCTCCTCGCTTTGTTGCATGGATTATGGAGTGTGTATCTACGGCCTCGTTCTCGGTTTCCTTGAATGGATCGTTGTACGGTTTTTTTAAAGGCAAACGGGGTATAAGGCAAGGGGATCCAATGTCCCCTTTGCTATTTGTACTGTGTCTCGAGTATTTTTCCCGGTTACTCACCTTGAGGGCCAAAGGGAATAATTTCAATTTCCACCCACAATGCTCTTCTTTGGGCATTACACATCTGGCCTATGCAGATGACCTTATGCTCTTCTCGAGAGGTGACAAGTATTCTATAGAAATATTGGTCAACGCTCTCAAAGAGTTTGGGGATGCATCGGGCCTTCGGGTGAACCACGATAAATCTAAGATTTTCGTTGGTGGGGTGAGAGACTTTGAGCTTCAGAATATTTTGGACTTGGTTGACTATGGGCAAGGAACATTCCCGGTAAGGTACCTCGGAATTCCTCTTGCCCCTCTTAAGATCTCGGTTGCACAATATGCGCCCTTACTTGATACGGTAAATGATTTTTTGAAAGCATGGAATACGAAAACATTATCCTATGCCGGGAAAATCGAGCTAATACGATCGGTGATCCAAGGGGTCCAATCGTTTTGGCTCCAAATTTTTCCGGTTCCCCAAACCATTTTGGATAGGATAGTGTCCATTTGTAGAATTTTTTTGTGGGGGGGCAAGTTTGCGAAAGTAGCTTGGGACGACATTTGTCTCCCAAAAGAGGAAGGCGGACTCGGCATACACAATGCTAAGACCTGGAATGATAGCCTCCTTTCGCGCACTCTTTGGGACGTACACAAAAAGAAGGACACCTTGTGGGTCCGTTGGGTGAATGGCGTTTACCTTCGAGGTAAAAGTGTGTGGGAGTATATCCCACACGGTCGGGACTCACAACTTATGAAGAGGTTGGGCCTAATTCGAGACAAAATTCGAGGGTGTTTTAATAATTTAAATGAAACCATCATGGGACTAAATGCTAGGTGCATCAATGGGAAATTAATTTCCGGCAAGGTTTACGAACTCCTAAGAGTTAAGGGGAACCCGAGGACTCCGATGAGTTTCATTTGGAAATCATATATCCCTCCAAAATTCTCATTCAACGTTTGGTTGGCATTGAGAAACAGGCTTCCTACCCAGGATAGCCTCGGTTACCTACATATAGTTAATAGGTGTGACTTATGCAAGGGTGGATTGGAGACAATTCCACACCTATTTTTCCAATGTCCATTTTCTTGCAGGGTATGGGATAGAATTAAAGCATGGATTGGACTTGGGCATCAGATGACTACGCTCCTAAGTGCAATCAAGTGGATCACTAAGACGCACAAAGGAGCAACCTTGAAAGCTAAGACTGGGCGGCTTGCATTCTGTGCCGTGGCCTACTACATTTGGCAAGCGCGAAATGAGATGAGATTTGATGAAGGGAAGAAGACGGAAGATGACGTGGTTGCTAAGATCAAGCATGTGGTCTACAAGATACTCTTCAGTATCTACCCACATGACTTGATCAAGTTTTGAAGTGGAGCTAAAGACTTTTTGGGAAGCTACGGCTTAGCCTCTATATATACCGGATTTGTGTGCGTGCACCTTGTAGCACCATTATAGTTTTGATTTTTGACTTATTAGCCGCTTATTTTTGCGTATAGGTCGAGATTGACTTATACTAGACTATTAGCCTCTTCTCACCCTTTCCTTTTCTCACGAAATAGGAGGGGGATGGGGGCTTTTGATTTTTGGACACACTGTACTTGTTATATTTTTTTCTTGGGTGTTAATATAATTTACATTTCATCCAAAAAAAAAACAATCAAACACAACCACTTATGTCCAAGAATAGTCAAACGTTGTCCATCTATCCAATAATAGTCAAATAATTTTAAAATGGGAAATAAAACAATTTAAAATCTTCGAGTGTTTGTCTATGTTGTAAAAACCGGACCGGTGAGCGACCTGGTCATGTGACTGGGTCACGGGTCAACCCGGACCCGGAGGGTTAACCCGGTCAAAGCCGGAAAACCGGTCAACGATTATACGTCTATATAATAATAGTAAACATATAATTATATACACTCTCATTATATATTTTTATTTGTATTGTACATTTATATTATAATTTGGCATGGTTTTCATTCTTAAATAAATATATAAATATATTACATAGTTTTTCTTTTTAGGGAATTGAAATTGCAATTTTATTGGTTTAAAAAATGCATTAAAATTATAAAAGAAATTACTTTTTTTTTGGAAAAGACCAAAAACCGGGTTTTTCGGGTTTCTTGGGTCGGGTCCGGATCGGGTTTTTCGGGTCAGTCGGGTTTTTCCGGTTTTTGACCATTTTCGGGTTTTGAAGAAACCGAACCGGATTTTTGTCCGGGTCACCGGGTTCCGGGTCAACCCGGCCGGGTCGGGTCGGTTTCTTAAACATAGGTGTTTGTATTGCTATTTTATTTTTAAGGAAATGTTTCTATGATGGAATATTAAAATCAAACTAAATGAATTAAACTTAGACATGAATATTAAGGGTATGTTTGGTTCAAGGAATGTCAGATTACCATGGGAATGTCAGATTGTTGGGTATGTTAGATTGATGGGAATGTATTCAATTTGTACCCATTTGTGTTTGGTTGAGACTAAAGGAATGTGACATTAACTTGTTTGGTTAAATCATATATTATACAACAAACTTGGTGAATTACTTCAATGCCCTTAAAAATATTTTCTCGTAATACCCTTATTACAATCGTTAGGGTCCCGAGAAAGAATGTCTTCATCGATAGGAGCCTACGTTTTTCATCGATCAAAAAATCAATGGACCACATGTCACCAATAGAATGACCTGATTATTCATGGACTTAGGGGGCAATTAATTAATTAGATTAGGGGTAGAAAATTAATGGTTGATCCTACTTGGGAAATATTAGATATTGACTCCTATTTAAGGAAAAGTTGCATGTTATATTTTACTCCTACTAAAGGTCATTCACTATCAACCACTAGTGAAAAAAATTAATGTTTGATCCTTAGCTTCTAAATCATTCTTACTTTATTCTAAATTTATTATTCACTATCAACCACATTAACTCCTTTTTTCTTAATAATAACAACACCTCCTCTTATATTAAGTTCTCATGATCATTTAAGTTTAAAAGTTCAAAATAAGTTATTATGATTAAATTACTACTGTAGTCACTACTCACATTTTTGTAAACAATCTTTATTTTAGTCATAAATATGTAATTTATTCATTAATTTTTAATAAATCAAATTCAAAAGTATACATTTTGTATTTCTTAATCCAATATGGATGAGTTTGTTTTAAAAAATTCCAATGCGGATAGGTTAAGAAAAATAAAAAATAAATACTTTGTATGCTATTTAAACCATTTTGGTTAAATGAGAATGAGTATTTTTGGAATAAAATTCACTCCCACCAAGGAATGTAAGATAACCTAAGAGTTGAGTGGGTTTGAGATGGAGGGGCATCCTATTACTTTCTCTTCTTTTTTGGAATGTGTCATTCCCCCCATAAAAATAAACCTACAAACAAAACACAGAAATTTCAGATTCCAGGCATGAGATTCCGGCCTGCATAGGTGATTACCTTGAACCAAACATACTCTAAATGTAACATAAAATGTAAGAAAACACGTGTGAATGCCCTCAAGTCATCCTTTAGTCTCTAGATTAGCATAACACCACACTCAATATACGTTACTACGAGACGCCTTCAACAAAGAATGAGCGTCACAAAAATCGTACAAAAGTACTTGATGTACACATTGGTTTACATATGATGTATTGCTAACGCACGATGTTCCATCATAAAAGGTCAACCTGATAGGAGGAGAAGCATAGGTCGTAATATAGCGTTTAATTATTTTAAAGATACCCAGTGTGAGACAATAACACTCCTCCTTACGACCAGACACTTCGTCTGAATCATGTCATCATTCATTGTTTCATCAGTTTGTCATTGTTAATGTTAAGACCCGGAGTTCCATTCTAAAGGGTCAACCTGATAGGAGAAAGAACTCATATCCTAATATAACGTTTAAACTTCCATTTGTTTACCCTCACTCTCCCCTCCCACTATTTCATACTTCTAATGAAAATCCCCCCTCTTTTCTTCTTTCTTCTTCAGATTTTCCATCTTTCATCTTCATTATTCTCCATATCCTTCACATCTCATCTTTATGGGTTTCATCTTTATTCATCTTCCATTTTCATCACCTTCCATCTTTACCACATCAAACAAAAAAAATAATACCTCCGTCCCATTTTATGTGTCTTAGTTTGACTTGACACGGTTATTAATGAAGTGGTTGAAAAAGTAAAAGTTGTGATTGAGATTTGAGTATAATAAAGTGAAATGGTGTAGGCCACATATTTTTTTCCAAAAAAAGAAATGAGACACTTATTTTGGGACAACTCAAAAAGAAAAGTAGGACATATAAAATGGGACGGATGAAGTATGTACTTGTACATTTTTGTCCGTGTACACACATATTACTTTATGTACACACAAACTAGTTCCTGTAACATTTTTGTATATGTACGCAGAAAAGAATACCCGTAAAGGCGAAAGAGTATTCTGGTGTGTGTATGCATACTCTAGTTGTATTTTGGCGAACCGTGATACGTTTTTTTTTAAGAGCAGAAAAAAGAAAAGAGGGAAAAGGCAGAAAAGTGTCGAATAGTCACAGTAAAGGCCGTGCTTTGCTGTTCATTGCTTTGTCACTCTCGTGCCTCTCCACTCTCTCTCTCTCACTATATCGAATGCGTATACGTATGTGTATATACGGTACTGGCAGCAGCACCAGTACACATTTCTCTCTCTAAACTCAAAAAGGGTCTCGAGATGGGCGTCTATGATAATAAAGAGGGGACCTCTCTCTCTTCTCGTGTGGGATAACAACAGCAGCAGCAGCAGCTCAAAACAAAAAGAAAGCCCCCCTTTCTCCTTTCCCTGTTCTGTTCCCTTTTTTTCACCCTCAACACCCACACACACCCTTTTGCTTCATAACGAAAAAGATCAAATCTTTTTCCATCATCTGCGAGATAATCAATCAATCTCAATGAGTGAGAGTGGCGGAGGCTCTCCGGGCGGAGAGACCCTGCCCTTGTTCATGCAACAGAGCCCATTTCTTTCTGATTGAAGAAGAAGTGAAGGAAAACAACAGCTAGCGGGCCGGGGGTGTTATTGATTTCTTTCTCTCTTTTGAAAAACAAAACAAAGTAGAAGAATTGGGTGTGGGTTCGGCTATGCACAGAGAATCATCCAACAGCGGTGGGAGTGGGAGTCACAGCAGCGGTAAGCAGCATCAGATGGACAGCAGCAAATATGTTCGGTACACTCCTGAGCAAGTGGAGGCTCTGGAAAGAGTCTACTCTGAGTGCCCAAAGCCGAGCTCACTCCGGAGGCAACAACTCATCAGGGAGTGCCCCATTCTCTCCAACATTGAGCCTAAACAGATCAAAGTCTGGTTCCAAAACCGAAGGTTATATGCGTGTTTTTGTGTCTCTCTCTCAGTCAAATTCAAACTTTTGGCTTCACTTTTCCGGAGTTTTCTCCCTCTTCGACCATTTTTTAATACTTCGGTCATGTTTGTCAATGCTTGATATGGTTCAACTTGGTTTCTATTTTCCCCTTTTGGGGGTTGGTGGGGGGGTTTGCGGGTTGTCTTCTTCCCTTGAATGTTGCGTATTTCATTTTTTTTTTGTTTTTTATGAAGCTTTTGTTTCCAGACAGTTTTATCTGAAAATGTGTTTTTATAATCATCTTCATCTTATTATTAATCAAAAAATTGTGTCCTTTTCACTTAATTTTTGTTTTATTCTCTCGAAATTATTTTTTGTGGGGTTTGAGAGAATCTTCTGTTTTCTTGCTTTTTCCTGTGAACTTTTGATTTTATCTTTTTAAAGCAAGCAGCACTCCGAAAAAAGGATTAATCCGTTGCGTGCTCTGAAGCACACTTAGGTGTGATAAAAAAATTCCACTTCTAGGACTTTTGAAATTATTATTGTTAAAGTATTTTGAAAGCCATCTTCTGGAGCCTTTTTGGTTCTGGGTTTTGTTTATTTCTTTTTTAGGCGAGAGCCTGACATCAATAAATGTTTTTCCGTATAATTAGATGGTGAAATGATGGAATTGTTTAGCAATTCGGGTTTTTGTATGATAGATCTAAAAATGTGGGTTGTTGGTAATTTTGTGAACTAGGTTTAGCTTCATTTGGAATCTATTGTTTCTCAAATTTTTTTAAAATTAATTATTAAGTGAAATGTGTGCTAGTATTTCTTCTTCAAGTAGCAAAAACCGAAAATGCACTTTTTTTGAACGATCGAAAATTCTTGTATAAACTTTTATTTTCAAATTATTTATGCTTATTTTGACTATTATGGTAATTTGGAATCTCTCCGCTCAAACTTAAATGCAGTCAAAAAGTGGTCTAAGTTGACCTGACTCCTTCTTTGTCCACAAATTGGTTTATTGCCACTTGTAGCTTGTTCTAAATTTTATGCGAAACTGAACACAACCAGACAAGCACTTCGTTTTTTTTTCACTGCCTTTTTTTATTTGTGACATTTGTATCTATATTTCGAAATACTGGGTTTTTAATTACTCTGTATTTATTTTCCTAATATAGCTAATTATCATGCCCTCTAGCATCTTTTATACTACTAATGGACTTTGTTGAACAATCTTAATGTAGCTTCAAATACCAAATTGGTTTATTGCCACTTGTAGCTTGTTCTAAACTTTATGCAAAACTGAACACAACAAGACAAGCGCTTTATTTTTCACTGCCCTTTTTTATTTGTGACATTTGTATCTATCTTTCAAAATACTGAGTATTTATTTTTCTAACATGGCTAATTATCACCTTTCAGAAAAAACATGGGTAATTATCACGCCCTCTTGCATCTTTTATACTATTATTATTGGCCTGAATTTTGTTAAGATTCCAGAACATACAGATGAGTAGCTTTTAATACCAATTTGACCCTCTGAATTTTTGTGTTTAAGGATCATTGTTTTTTATATCCCCTTTACAGATGCCGTGAAAAGCAAAGGAAGGAAGCTTCTCGTCTACAGACAGTGAACAGGAAGCTGAATGCCATGAACAAGCTTTTGATGGAAGAGAATGACCGTTTGCAGAAACAGGTCTCTCATCTGGTTTGTGAGAATGGTTATATGCGACAGCAGTTGACTACTGTAAGTATGAGGGACATAATGTGGTAAATGAAGTTATAGTTTTTTTCTTGGAATGTAAGCTTATTAGCTTATATGTCTAACCAACATAGCAGTAAATGATGTTCCATAGAAGTTCAAAGAAATAAAAGAAGTGCTTTCCTTTCCCAAAGTAATTTTCTGCAACAACTGGAACCTTAATACATATATGCCTCTATGGATAGAAGTTTTTTTGCTGACCTGCTACATATGTGTTATATATATCTCCTCATATGTTAGTGGGCTTATATTTAACTTGGATAATATTACAGGTAAACCCCACGACCACGGATATGAGCTGTGAATCTGTGGTCGTGAGTGGTCAGCAGCAGCAACATCAAAACACAACACAGCATCCACAAAGGGATGCCAACAACCCAGCTGGGTAATTGAATTAGTAATCTTTGTTTCCACTTTAAGAGCACAGCCTTGCACAATATCTATTCCTTTTTTAAAAACTAGTTCTGATTGAATACCATTATTATACTATATAATTGTTTTTCTTTCCTTGTTGTGTAGCCTCCTCGCAATAGCTGAGGAGACCCTGGCAGAGTTCCTTGGAAAGGCTACTGGAACTGCTGTCGATTGGGTTCAAATGATTGGTATGAAGGTAAGCGGGTTGTTTTCTAATTTACATGAATGTTGATGCATTTCATAGACGTTCAGATGATGATAATTTCACATGCTTGTGTTTTTGCCTTTTTAGCCTGGTCCGGATTCCATTGGGATCGTCTCTGTTTCCCGCAACTGTAGCGGGATAGCAGGACGAGCCTGCGGTCTTGTGAGCCTTGAGCCCACAAAGGTACCCTTTTCTGAACTCCAGTATTTCTCCTTTCAACTTTCCACTTATTCTAGCTTTCCGAAAATTCTTCCTTTTTTAGAATATAAAAGCCTACTCAGCATGATAAACCCTTACCCCAAACATGTTCTAAGTGCTGTGTTTTTTCGTTTTCATTTTGCTAGTTTTTTATCTTGTTTCTGATCTTATTTCAGGTTGCTGAAATTTTGAAAAATCGCCCTTCCTGGTATCGTGATTGTCGTTGTCTTAGTGTGCTGAGTGAACTCCCAACAGGGAATGGGGGGACAATCGAACTCATATACATGCAGGTATGTATGTATTTTCTGCATGCTGCCTCTTTAAGTAAATGTGTAAAACTTTCATCATTTTTGGGAACATTAGGAGTCTATTTTTCTGTTCTTCTTTCAATTAAAGATAACTATGCTTCTATATACTAGACATATGCTCCAACAACGTTGGCATCGGCTCGTGACTTTTGGACGCTTAGATATACTACGAGCTTGGAAGATGGCAGTCTTGTGGTATGTATGTGGAGTACAAAGTCAAAGTTCTCAGGCATTTAATTTTTCTATTTTTTTTATTTAATTGTTTGACGATTAATTTTTGCAGATATGTGAGAGATCTTTGACGTCTAAGACTGGTGGCCCACCTGGACCTCCGGCCACAAGTTTCGTGAGGGCAGAAATGCTACCAAGTGGCTACCTTATACGTCCGTGTGAGGGGGGTGGCTCCATGATCCATATCGTGGATCATGTTGACCTTGATGTAAGTAGTGATTATTCCAAGCAGTCATTGAGTATGTTGACCCATTATCTCTCCCTTGCATATTCTTTCTGATCTCTTTGTGGATTTGGTGGTTTGGATCACAGAAACTACTAGGGAATTTTTAAAAAAAATCTACAGAATGCTATTTCTCAAGCTTGATTTGACCTTTGGAAAATTCAATGCAAAGTGAAATATGAATATTTAAAAAATCACACATACTTAGATATCTTAGTCTTTATATAATAAAAGTAAAAAAAGGTTCGAATTCATCTTAGATAACTAAATAAATTCATGGAGTCTTCCTTCTAATTTTATTCCCTAACATTTTCCATATTCCAAATGGACTTTTCAGGTTTGGAGCATTCCTGAAGTTCTGAGACCACTCTATGAATCATCCAAGATTCTTGTACAGAAGATGACAATGGCTGTAAGTAAGCAACATCTTGTGTTTTTTGTTACAACTTATATATGCAAGAATTTGTTTTTTGGTTCATCAGATTTGTCCTTGTTGCTAGGCCTTCCGCCACATACGGCAAATAGCACAGGAGACAAGTGGGGAAGTGCAGTACAGTGGGGGTCGACAGCCTTCGGTTCTAAGGGCTCTCAGTCAGAAACTTTGCAGGGGATTCAATGAAGCTGTAAATGGGTTTGTTGATGATGGGTGGACTGTTATAGGCAGTGACGGTGTAGAGGATGTGACCATTGCCATTAATTCATCTCCAAGCAAATTCCTTGGTTCCAACTGTAACAACTTGTCTATACTTCCAACTTTTGGTGGAGTACTTTGTGCAAGGGCATCGATGCTGCTTCAGGTATGTTCCTCTTTCTTTAGAGCTTGTTTTCCGTTAGGGATAGTTTATTTCCATGGGAAGAAAATTCTTTTCACTTGGTTGGAGCTGTTTTGATAGAGCACTTTTTTTTTAAAATTTTATAAAAGCCCTTATAGGCTTTATAGCATAAGCCATTCCAAATATGTTGTTACCTGTTCGTGTTCTAGAATTCCGTTCAAATTGTTTTTTCATCACTTTTTGGTGCAGAATGTTCCACCTGCTTTACTTGTTCGTTTCCTGAGAGAGCACCGTTCTGAGTGGGCTGACTACGGGGTTGACACTTACTCCGCTGCTTCTCTGAAAGCTAGTCCGTATGTCATACCTTGTGCAAGGCCAGGAGGCTTACCTAGTAGCCAGGTCATCTTACCTCTTGCTCAGACTGTGGAGCATGAGGAGGTCGGTTGCCTAATCATGTCTAAGTGCATTCTAATAGCTAAACTGTACCTAATTGCTCTTGACTAACTTAAATTATGTTATAATTAAATGTTTATTCTCTAGTTCCTGGAGGTGGTTCGTTTAGAGGGTCAAGCCTTTTCTCCTGAGGACATTGCTTTATCACGGGACATGTATTTGTTACAGGTTAATATGCATTTTTGAAATCCATAAATTTACTATATTTTCCCAGTCTTTAGGAAAAAAAGCCGTTAACAACCTTCTGATGTACATTTCTGTTCAATGATGACAGTTATGCAGTGGGATTGATGAGAATGCTGCAGGAGCTTGTGCCCAGCTTGTGTTTGCACCGATTGATGAATCTTTTGGTGATGATGCTTCTTTACTTCCATCTGGTTTCCGTGTCATACCACTCGAACCAAAATCAGTTGAGTTATCGTATACTATTGGATATGTGATGATATGATTAATATAGTATGTTAGTCACATAAAGAGTTATTATTAAAACACAGTTTTTGAAGAATATTTAATGTTTAAATACTGTTTTTTTCTCTAACTCCTGGCAATGTAGGATGCGCCTGGTACAACTCGGACATTGGATTTAACTTCTACCCTTGAAGCTGGAAACAGTGGAACTCGTCCAGTTGGCAGTAAAGTTGAAATTAGCAATTATAACCATCGTTCTGTTCTGACAATCGCATTCCAGTTTACTTTTGAGAACCATTATCGCGACAGTGTAGCTGCTATGGCTCGCCAGTATGTCCGGAGCATTGTGAGCTCTGTTCAGAGAGTTGCAATGGCCATTGCGCCATCTCATATCAGCTCCCATTTGACGCTAAAGACCGTACCTGGCTCACAAGAAGCTATTACTTTGTCCCGTTGGATCTGTAGGAGCTACAGGTGTGTGGGTCACTTGTGAGTTATAGCCACTAGCAATTTCTTCCCATTTTTCCTTGGGCTGTGTTTGAAATGTGGAGTGGCAGAGAAGGGAAGAAAGCTTCCCAGTGGTTGTGCTTTGCCTTGAAAATATAAATAAAGTAAAAGAAAATTTTGAAATAACTTTTTAATAATTTTCATATATACTTCGTATTTAAATTGTGTAGTCTTGATATAATAAAAGTATACAATAATTGAGTTGGAAAGATATCTAAAATTGAGTCGTTGAGCTTGAACCAAGTTTTTATATTCCCCCAAAATTTCTTTCCATCCACATGCCCCCCATTTACTTGCTTTGGCAATATTGGGGTTCCAAACAGACCTTGATAGACAACAAACCATACGGTATTACACATTTCCTTTATGCAGATGTTACATGTTAACTTTCTTTGCTACCAACTCAATGGTCTTATTGCCTTGCAGGATGCACACTGGGAGTGAACTTCTTCATTTGGAGTCACAAGCTAGTGATGCTGTGTTGAAGCAACTATGGCAGCACTCCGAGGCCATAATGTGCTGCTCCGTCAAAATGAATGTTAGTATCGTATCCATTTTAATCTTAAAAAGCAAACATTTAGTACATATCCATTTTAATCTTAAAAAACAAACTTTGCATAATTGCCCAGGCGAGAATATGAGAATTAAGATCACACTTTTCCCTCAAAAGCCACAGGGAAGATTCAATTGTTGGGAAAGGGCGGACTACGGGGAAATCTTTTGATAGTGTTGCCAGCTAGATATACATTTTGTTATAATTAATATGCAAGTAAATAAAGAGGTTGACACATGTGTATTCATGCAGGCATCCGCTGTATTCACATTTGCAAACCAAGCTGGCCTGGACATGCTAGAAACCACTCTTTTAGCCCTCCAGGACATAATGCTCGATAAAATTCTAGATGAAGCTGGCCGGAAAGTCCTTGTTTCGGAGTTCTCAAAGATCATGCAGCAGGTAAGACTTAAAAACCTCTAAAGATTATTTACTTGATGTTCACAAAGACTGCATCACCTCATTGGGTAAATAGTAAAAACGGGCACCATGTTTTACTATTTGATGCTTTCTTACTAAACTAAGTAAATTTTTTGCCTGCCCACAGGGGTTCACATATCTACCTTCTGGCATCTGTGTATCTAGCATGGGAAGGCCTGTGTCGTACGAACAAGCTGTCGTGTGGAAGGTTCAGAATGATGAGGATGCCAATCACTGCCTAGCCTTCATGTTCATGAATTGGTCTTTTGTTTAGTCAACCAAAAAGACTTTCATCTAGTATGTAATGCTTAGTATGGGTAGGTACTAGAGAACATTGCAGTTAGTTACTTAAAAGTGGAAGTTCTTGTGGTTAAAGTGTTAAACCTTTGTATGACATGAAGAAGCTGTATGGCAAGCTGTCATGTGTAAAAACATATTTGCATGGGACAATGACATTATGGTTATGACAAGCAATGTGTTTTCCTTAGTGGCCAATGATTCTAGCTGTCTAAGTTCTTTATCAGCACATCTTATTTGTGAGGTTTGTTGAAATTTCATTGATGGTTGTTATGCCTGGGACCACCTAGTTATTGTGTTGTTGGTATGGTTGAGTGTTGGGAGTACTACTACTAGGGGTCCTGTTGGTTGGTTAGTTGGTTGGGTTGTTCTTGTCATTTTCACTTTGGACAAAATTATTACAAATTTACAACCATTGAATTGTAATGGTCTAAAAAGGTTTCTTTCATTCAATGTCAAACCATCTCAATCTATTGGAAGTTGGTTTGGGAATTAGGATTCCAAAATACTTAGAAATTCTCTTTTAGTAAAAGGTGAAAGACTTGTAAAAGTAATAAACAAATATTATTATATAGGCAAAAGTGGTAAATGATTTCTAATAAGACAACTCGAGTATTATCCCTCGCCTCCGTTGTTTTTTTGAAAAACTTGGGATACAATAATGCTGACTGCTGAGTGAGGGGTGAGCTGAAGTTCCCAAAAATATTGGACCGAAAAGCTAGGTGCCTAGGTGTATAGAATTTCAGTCAAGGGCTGGTCTTGTAATCCTTGTATTGGAACGTATTTAGATTTTTAAGTAAAAACTTTTTATAAAAAATTGACTATGATGACTATTAATTTTTTATAAATAAATCATTCTTGAATAAATATTCAAATAAAACTAAATCTAAGCAATTCTTATATTCGTACATACTACGGAGTATTACACTAGCTTTCAATGCCAGTACATAATTTTAGTAAATTTGATATTCTCGAAATCGTATACGTAGTATAATTTAATCATTTAATGTGATGTAAAAGCAAAATAAACTTACTCTCATATAAAGCCGTTTGATAATACCAAAATGAGTTGAATTGTCTGACTCTACTGTAATAAATTAAATCTAACTGATTGGGCTAAATTGACGGAATCTTTCAAATTATGAAAAAGGGATGGCTGAACCGTGTCATACAAATTAATACAAATTATGAATTAAATCTACTATAACTAAATTTTATGAATGACATACTTCATCATCTAAAAGTTAGTTCTTACAAATAAATTTTCAATCTACTTTATTTTTTATTACAAATAAAAAGGATGTTAATCCGTGTCATACAAATTACTACGGAGTAAGTAGAGGTTCTCAAAAAGTTACGTAGTATAAATAAGGTGGATTCTATATAATCGTACAATATTTTGTTTCCATATCAATATGCAATAAAAAATAGAATGTAATAAAAGATAAAAAGCATAAAAAGTACGGAGTAATTAATACTCCGTAATTATTATATACGATGACATGGCAGGATTATGTGGCACACCGTATGCTCTTAAAAAGTTCCTCTTTTATATATATAATATTGATATTGATTTTATAAAGAAAACACATTTAAAAATAATACTCCGTAATTAATTAATTAGAGTCCAATCGGTACAAATCTATATATTCAGGGATTAGACCAGAATCAGAAATTTCAAAAAGCTTGGATCAAATTTCAGACTAGTATGTAACCGGTTCCAGTACAATCTGGACAGACCAATCCCAGTCTGAACTCTGAACCGAAATATGATCATCCTTGCGTTCTTTCACTTTTTTTTATTATTATCTTGTTCACTATTTCTACCGTCACATTAATTTCTTTTGATATTTTGTGTTGTCTAAATTTTTATCACATTTGATTTGAGCTCACAGTTCATGGTAAACACTAAACAACAACCGGTTCCCGTCTCTAATAAAGGCAATGCGCTAAGAAAGAAGTATGGATGGATCCAGGACTTTGCCTTTATTCAATCAAAAATTATTTTCATTAAAATGTATACACTGCATTTAAATGCAACACATTCTAAATTCATACATTTATTAAAATAACTCAAAATTTATAATTGAAGTATTTAGAAATATACATTTAGAAAAATGTGTTTAAAAAAAGGTAAATTAAAGCCTAAGTAATGTCAAATCAAGTTTTTTTTTTTATATTTTTTTGTTATGTATTTTAATACCCCGAACACTGTTATGTTTTATGTCAAATCAAGTTAAAATTTATTTGATTATAAGAAAATTAATAAAATTTTATCAATTCATTTGAAAGGGTCTAACAAATACACATTCATCTATATTTTTTTGTTAACCATGGTTTGTAAGGCTCAACATTCTTTTTTACTTTACCAATAATTCTAGTATTTATGACATTTTTAGTTTTTAAAATAATATTATATTGTTAATTCATGTATGTGGTGCATATTATATTTGTATAAATTCTTGAATGATTTAGAAATTATTATTCATGCATCAAATTCTTTTTAAAAAGTCAGAACTAAATAAATTGTGTAATTTTAGTGTGAGAAACAACATTTTAATATCATCACACTGTTTAACTAGCTAGTGTTTGTAGTATTTTAATATTGCTTGATACTTTATTAAATTAAGTACTTCTTATCCATTAAAGACAAAATTAAACTTTACAAAAATAGGTTCACTCTTTATGAAATATAAGTATATCAATGAGTTTTCTTCCGCTGGAAGGTTCCCATTACGGTTTACGATGCTTGATTGACGATAAAACAACTTAATCATTGTTCATACTCCGATTTTTTTTAGTAAATAAAATTTACATATTCAGAAACTACGTACATTAAAACCACTACAAAGTCTGATAAAAAAAATTAAATTTGATAAAAATTTGATTTATAAATCAAAAGATTAAAAATTATTTAAGTTGATCATATGAATAATGGACGGGAACATTCTAATGGGATGGATGGAGTATTATTTTTGCGTCCAAATCAAGAATATTATTGGTGAAATACTACGTATATAGTGATGGTTTCGATATTATTGATGAAATACTACCTAATAATATGATGAAATAATCTCCGATCGATTATTTCAAATACACTACTAATAATATATATGATGAAATACTACGTATATAGTGATGCTTTATACAAGTATATTATCGAAATAAACAGATAAAGAAATACCGTACTCTTCCAATTATTATTACGAGTAATTAATTACCCCATCTTAAAGATTTTGTAAATTGTAACAATCTTTGGCTTATGAACGTACGTATGTATGTAATATCATACTCCCTCCGTCCCTAAATAAACTTTCAATTTTCCTTTTTCGTCCGTCCCAATTAAAACTTCCAGTTTCCCTTTTTGGCAAAGAATTTGTGATTCACAGCAATTCATACACATTTTTCTCTCCTCTGCACAACTCTCCACCACACAATACCCACTATCATAAACTGTGTGCCCAGCCACTTTGGAAGTTTTATTTGGGACGGAGGGAATACTAGTAAAAAAGTTGAAATTGCTATTTCAAGAGAATTTTGATCTTAAGGTGCTGTTCTGTTCGTCTTATTCTTATTACTTATTGCTTATTCTTATTTTATTCAGATCAGATCAGATCAGATCAGAAAAATTCAGATCAGATCAGATCAGATCAGAAAAATTCAGATCAGATCAGATCAGATCAGAAAGATTCAGATCAGATCAGATCAGATCAGAAAGATTCAGATCAGATCAGAAAGATTCAGATCAGATCAGACCAGATCAGAAATATTCAGATCAGATCAGAAACATTCAGATCAGATCAGAAAAGTTCAAACATGATTTATCATTTTTATTATTATATTAAATATTAATTATTATTATTAATATTGTTATTACTATTATGATTATTATTATATAATTATTATTAATAATATTAATAATAATATGATAAAAAAATATTAATAATAGTTATAATATTTTAATATAATAATAGTAATATAAATGCAATTGTTAAGAAGACTATTATTATTATTATTACAATATATTATAATAATAATAATAATATGATTAATATTATTATAATATTATATTATAATTATATGTAATTATAATTATAATTACAATTATAATTATTATAATTATAAGTATAATCAATTGTAATTATTATAATTATATCTATAATTAATTATAAATATAATTGTAATTAATTATAATTATAATAATTATAATTATAATTATGATTATAATTATAATTATAATTATAATATTATAATAATATAATACTAATTATAATAATTATATTATTATTATATTATGGTAATAATAATATTAATATAATAATATCGTTATAATAATATTAATTGTATTTATATTACTATTATTAAATTATACTATTATAATTAATGTTAATATAATTATAATTATTATTAATTATAATTATAATAATTATAATTATACTTATAATTATATTATAATTATAATTTATGATTATAATTATTATTTTTATTATAATTATTAATATTATTATTATTATTATTATTATTATTATTATTACTATTGTAATTATTTTACGGAGTAATTATAATAATATTGATAACTATAGTTACAATTATAGAGATAAATATTGTAATCATAATTACAATTATAATTATAATTTTATTTAAATTATATTTGTAATTGCAATTATAATAATTATAATTATAATTATAATTATAATTATAATCATAAAAATATTCGAATCAGATCAGAAAGATTCAGATCAGATCAGAAGGATTCAGATCAGATCAGAAACATTCAGATTAGATCAGACCAGATCAGAAACATTCAGATCAGATCAGAAAGATTCAGATCAGATCAGATCAGATCAGAAAGATTCAGATCAGATCAGATCAGAAAGATTCAGATCAGATCAGATCAGATCAGAAAAATTCAGATCAGATCAGATCAGAACTTAAAAAATTCAGATCAGAAACATTCAGATCAGGCGAAGAGAACAGCTTCTAAATGTGGTCTTAAAGTCAAACTGGCTGGAAAGGGATCGATGGCGACCGAACAGGGTGATGCAAAGTGACAACACCTAGCTAGGAGGCAGGCAGTAATTACTACGTACACTTCCCTTTCCCTTTGCATAGTTGCCTCTTTGTCCCGACACTCTGCTATACCATGTCCAGTTACTTATGGTGCTCCTACAACCTAGCGACTTACATTAGTTGCCACATAAATTGCTCCATAGTCCCTACCAGGTCC